AGATGACTGAGTGTAATGTTATGGGAATGGCAATTTGAAGGATGATATTTGATGTTTGGGCCTCATAACACTTCTAAATTATGTTTAATTTAGGGAATTTTAGGTTTAGATTATTATTATTTTTAGGGTGCTTTAGGAGAGGTTAAAGACATAAACTTAAGAGATTCAAGAAGTTAAAAGTTTAGGCTAAAGCTTGGGGACCAAGGCTGCAAATATTTATTCTGCCTCCTTCCCTACTTTTCATTTTTCTTACTACTCTTAATGGTTAAACGTCACATATTTCTATTTTATCTTTGCAATTATGAGTAGCTAATTTTATTCTAAGATTGCAATTGAACTCATATATAGTTTGAATTTTTGATCTTTTTATTGCTTGTTTATTCAAATTTATTCTTAATGTTTTTAATTGCTTAGCTACCAATTAAATTGATTTAGAAACCTAAACATAACTCCACAAAGGGAGTTTAGTGTAGGCTAATATTGAAATAGTATATGATCATATTACTTGATTTGTGTATAAAATAGAGATATACCTATATGCCATATGTAGCGAGAATTAAAGCCTAAACTTAATGAGATTGTTTTAATTTTAATTCAAATAGGGATATAGTGTTTTGGTTAAAATAGATATTTTTATAAGACAAGTTGAGAGACCTTTATAAATATTTGAGGATTCTAAATTAGCAATTCAACCCATTGAACTAAGTTAAAGAAGAGAGGTGAAATTTAGATGAAGTGTGAGGGATATTGTAATCCTAGGCTTATTTCTATTGATTTTTATCATATTTTCTTTCTGCTTTGATTTTTATTCTTGTTAATTAGTTTTGTTAATTTTAGTTTAAATTATTATTTGCTTTTTGACCATTTAGATAAAATTAAATTATGTTAATTTTAATCCTTAGTAAAATGTTTAGAACAATTCTCTGTGGGATCGATACTCTATTTGCCATTTTACTGTCTTTGCAATATGTGTACTTACGTGAGTGGAATTTTAACTAACAAGTTTTTGACGTTATTGTCAAGGAACTGTTTTCTCAAATTTTTGCCAATATTAATACCAAACAATATACTTTTAATTTAATTTTTTTTTATTCTCAAGTACTTTCGGTTGAGGTGATGAATTATTATAACTATTAGTGGCCATCTAAACAATTTGTGCCTAGATGGTTGCTAGTGATTATGAATTGGCTATCAGTGCTTTAATCGTCCAAGTAAATGCTTTGTCTCAAAGAACTGACACTTTGGGTGTTAATATTTCTCAAAGTCCCTATGTGACATGCAAAATTGTGGAGATGGGCATTCAAGTGATTATTGTTCAACCTATTATGAATCAATGTAATTTGATGGAAACTTCAATGGGTAGCAAAACAATTCGTACTCCAATATTTACCACCCAAATTTTTCATAGAGTAACGATCAAGGCCCTACATATTTATCACAACTTATTTTCCATCATGAGTTTTGGTCACAAGTTAAAGCCCCTATACTTGAAAAGAAGCCAACTTTAGAGTTGATATTCATTCAATTCATGGCATAGACTAATGCCATCATTCAAAGCCAAGCAACATCAATCAAAAATCCTGAGATACAAGTGGGTCAACCATCTAGTGCCATTAATAGCTGACCTCTAGATGGCAAAGATAAAGTAGATTAAGAGAATACTTCCAATAATTAAGTTCAAGATGAAGAAATTAAGCAAGAAGGGAAAGTATCTATACCACCACAAGTCAAGCCATATATGTCTCCTAGTTTTTCTCTGAATACAGTAGTTAAGTTACCTAAAGAGGATTTTGATATGGAAAATCCAAAAAAACTCTTTGAAGTTTGTTTGGTTCAAAATGCAACAACAAAGGACAAGAATGAAGAACTCACAAATGTTACACATGTTTTGAAGGCTCCACCAAAAGTGCATTATCCAGAAAGAACTCAATTTGATAAGTTGGGTAAAAGTTAGTCTATTTCACCACCTTGGGTTGAGCAACCACTAAACCTTGAGTCAAAACCACTACAATATCATCTTAGGATAAAACTACTTTCACACCTCAAGCTTTTTTCATGCAAACTCAAACTTCCTTGAAAGGGTGAAGGAAGACTTCAACCCAAGTCAAGCTATTGATTATAAAGAAGCGTTTCTTGGGAAGCAACTAAGGCTTTCAAAACTCTTATTTCTTTTCTTTTTAGTTATTTTTATTTTGTTTAGTTATTTTTCTGCATTAATCTTTATTTATTTATTTTTTTCAGCAAAAAAAATCCTCCAACAAGTGACAATGAGGATGATGAGGAAGAGGAGGAAAATTAGTGCATCTTCAAATTCATCCAACCACTAAGGGAGTATTCTTTCCTTTCCTTTATTTTTTCTAGCATTGAGGACAATGTTTAATTTTAAGTTTGGGGGGTGTCTTTATTTATTTTTAAGTTGTTGGTCTTTATTTATCTTTATTTGCTTGTCTTCTTTATTATTTTGCATGTTTATTTAGCTTTAATTTTTAGCTTTTATAATGACAATTTTTTAAAAAAATTTAAAGATATTTTGACTTCTTGTTTATGATTTTTTCTTATCCTAGGATGATATTTTGATTATTTTATGATTTTAACTTTTGAGAAGAATATGGGTATGATTTAAGTTTGTGTTGATATTCTTGTGATAGCTTCATTGTAGAATATGACTTCCAATAATTTAAGCACTATATTTTTTTTCCTCAGAATTGTCATGTTATTTACACAAAGTTTATATTAATAAAAGTACAGTGAAGTTAAGTATTTTAGAATTTGTTTGATTCTCTTTTGAGACGAAATCTTAGATAACACTTAGATGATGATTTAGGCCATCTTTGAACCATTTGAGACTTTACAAGCTTACCTTGATATACATTTATCCCTGGTAACACTTTTTAGGCCTATTTTTCCTTTTCTTTGTAATCACATATTAGCCTAAGCCTTTTTATTTAATTCTAATTTGAACTATCACCCTTAAATATTTTGATATTTCTTGGAAGTATTTTGAGCTTAAAGTCAAATTCAGAAAGGTGGATTGATAAAAAGAAAAAAGTGATTGGTGTTAGAAATTTACCCCTGTTCATAAGTGTCAAAAATAAGTTTGGGTGTAAAAAAATTAATAGGAAAAAAAGAAAAGAAATAAAGTGTGTTGTACAAAGGAAAATTTATTTCAAGTTTGGGGGTGTTATAAATTTTTTTTTGAGCTCTTTATAGGTTCTAGATTAATTTAGTGCTTAGGGTGAATTTTAGACTAAATATATTCTTTATCATACCTTGACCTTAACTTTACATTACAAGCCTAATAAACTCCTATTGATCTTTAAATAAGTGTTAGTCTACATTAGTGGAGAGAGAGATGAAAAATAAACTTATGGAATTTTAGGACTAATCTATGCTTGGACTTTGTCTAAACCAATTCGAATTGCATGATATTCTTTGGAAGAGATTATTCACACATACATAAGAAGTCTATTCAAAAGTGAGCTTTCATTTGAATTGATGCATGAATTTGAAGCTTATCTGTATTTTACCTTAAGTTGAAATTATTGGATAACTTCTGAGAAAAAATTAGGAAATCATGACCTAGTGAATTTTTATCTCTTGAAAAGTTTTTTGTATTTTCTTTGTTTTCTTTTCTTTTGCTTGAGGACTAGCAAAATCTTAAGTTTGAGAGTGTTATAATTTCATTTTATTGAATTATTTTAATCTCATTTTGTTTTTAATGTTAACAAAGTCATTAAAGTTTAACTAAAATTTAGTTATTTTTAGTTGTTTTTCTAATTAGTTTATTTTTATTTAGTTATTGTAACACCCCGTACTTTGATATAGTGGCTAATAAAGCTTATCTGATACCAATTGAGGTTAGTTAGAGTGTTTAAAAGTGATGAAGGATGAAAGAAATAGTTTGGAATAAAATATTTCGCATGCGAAAAAATAGTAATTAAATAATAATATTTTTATCAAGAATGAATTAGCGAGTTCAAAAGGTGATTCGGAAGTGAACCGGGACAAGTGAGACCTTTTGGGTCCCGAAGGGACAAGTGGAGAATTTTGGATTAAAATAATATTTTATTAATAAAACAATATTAAAATATTAATACTTTAACTGTTGTCAAAATTAGACATGAAGGAGGATTATATGACTAATCTAAGTGGGGGAGAAGAAAGAAGGTAGGATTTTGAAGAAAAACGACGTTAATGGGGCTCACATGTCTTTATTAAATAAAGCTAGTGCGGGTAAGTATATATTTAAATATTATGGTGATACCTTGGTGAAGTGTAAATTTTATATTTGGTTTGCACACATGTAAAGGAAGGAAAATAGAAGGAAACTGGAGTTTAAGAGATGTTGGAAGGACCCAATGGTAAAGGTTGAAAGTTTGGAGGGGTCGCATGGTAAACAAGGAAAAGTTTGAGGACTCATTTATAATTTTAATATTTGAAATTAAAACGGGGAATTTCCTATCAAGGAATATGAGATACACATGTGAAAGTTACTATTCCATGCAAACTATAGTGTGCAAAAAGAAAAAGTTAATGGGGAACATGTGGGACCTCCATCATGTGAAGTGAAAAAAAGAATAAGACTAAAATTTATTTACATGTAGTGTGATTGGTGCATTGGTGGTCAAATGAAAAAAGAAGAAAGTGGATTACATGTGACTTAAATGGGACAAAAGTGACTAAATAAATATAAAGTGAATATGGGGCATGGAATAAGAAATAAAAAAAAAGACAAAGAATGGAAAAACAAGGTGGCGGGTGGAAAGGTTGCAAATGCTTTTTGCGTTGTAATTTTACCACATAAAAGAAAAGAAAATATTCCAAAAAGCCATCAAGCTTTGGGCAATCTACCCATGCAAGAAAAGTAAAGAGAAAGAAAAAGAAAATAATGGAAAAAGTGTGTGGCTTTGGGCAATCCGCCCATGTGTGGACAAAATAAAAAATGAAAGCCATTTTCAAGGCTGTGGCCTTGACAAGTCCACCCATAACCAAGAAGAAAAGAGAAAGGAGAAGAAAGAAAAAAGAAAAAGAGAAAGGAAGGAAGGTTCGGCTTGAAGAAGCTAGAGAAAAACCGAGAGGTTTTTTCTCCCACCCACACGCCATTGTTGAAGTTTAAGGAGAGCTTGGTGGTTTGGCTTAAAGAATTCAAGGTAAGGAAGGTAGAAATTGTTAGTTTGGTTGAATGCATGCTTTTTGAACCGATTATAATGTGTGAAAATGTTTGTGGCAGCAAAAGAATACCATATAGGTGCCAAGAAAACCATGCATGTTGGTGAATAACAAGGAATGTGAGACTTTGCTACCAAGGAGCTTGAGATTTCTTGGTTTTAGATAAAGTTGAATTATTGAGGAAAGGTAAGACAAATTGTGGCCTCCTCCTTGATTGTTTATAGTAAATGATTGTGGGTTAGGAAGAATGCTTATAATAATTGTGAGTAAGCATGAGATTAACTATGAAATTTGGATAAGAATTTATTGGTTGATTTGCTGCCATGCATGAGTATAATTAAGCGAATTGGATTTGAATGGTTGCTAGGAAGCATATAAGTAAAGAAAGTGGGTTGTTCTGGCGTGCCGTAGGGTAACAGGTGATCGACGAGTAGAATTAGTTATATATGCACTCAAATCAATAGCAATGTAGCGTTCCACTATTATGAGGTAAGTAAGTGGTATCCATTTTAAAATTTCCATAACTATATATACAAATATAAGTGTTGATTTACTTTAAATGCAAATTTGTGGAAAGCATGAGCTGGTAGAAAGGCTAGGCATTTGTGGATGATATGACTTTTGAAATTTGTTTTGAGCATATATAAGCTATATATGCAAAGGATTTTAAAACCGATAAACAAGCTTTTCAATACGATTTACGTCAAAATATGCCTTATAGTTTGTGTGATGTGTATTCATGATTGAAACACATATCCACCATGTAGATTGATATTTTAACCTCATGCAAAGGGTTTATGTTTTAAAGTCTTATAAAGGATTTTGTCATGTTACCATGTTGAATATTTCAGAAATGGTTTTGAAATAAGCTTTTGAGAACCCACATTGATTTTTAAATGATTTTACCAAACTGGGAGATTCGAGAGTAGGTCGAATGTCACATCGGGATAGTGTAACCCTTGTGCACAAATGAGCTCTAACTAGAGAACCTTTGGGTCACTGACAGGCTGTTAGATGTGGCTAGGGCCACAGTCTATGATATTTACGTGGCAAGGCCACGGGTTGATATATGTGGCTAAGCCACAAGTGATATACGCAATTGCAAACACCTGATTTCTCCAATGTTGGCCAACATCATTGAGACTCTCATGGATGTGGGGATCCAGTGGAGTGGAGTTCTCGGAGGTTATTATGTGAAAGTAGGTCCACGAGTTCTTTATTTCTATTACCTACTCGAGAGTGATATCTCTTTGGGTTTTCAATACATGTTCTTTCGCATGGTGAGAATTATAAGACTTTCCTTAGCTCTTTTATTTACACTATGATGTTGGATTTAACTCCTTGTGTATGAGGTGATTTGTGAAATTGTGTATAAGCTTTGATAACTCTTGATTTTAAGGGAGCATGCGTGTTTGTGATGGATTGCTTTGAGTAAAGTTGTTGAATGAATTCAAGGAAGGAAAATCTTGTACTTATACCGATTTGCTTTAAATAAGTTGCAAAATGATTTTGATGGTAAATATCTTTACTTAAATTGATTCAATATTTAATTTAAATGATTATCTTGTAATAACTTTCTGATTTCACATATAGGGCACAAATCTCCCTTTTGAACTAAATTGTTTACATATATTCTTACATTTTTAATATTCAAATATTCTACCTTTAGCTTGTTTTCCATCTATACTCTACTCACGAAGTTGATGATCACTAAGTCTGTGAGACTCACCCATTTATTTCCTTTTGTAGATAAGTAATCTGTTCAAGTGCATCACTCAACACATCGAAACGTGCTTCAACATAGGTAAGGGCATCTCTTAGACTTACAATCCGAGTCGCTTTACTGCATAGAGGTCGTGTTGTGTAAAATAGTTTCACTTATAAAGATTATCAATCTATCGAGAATGTATTTGCTAAACTTTGAGGTTGTGCAATGAATACCACTTGTGATGCTAAAATTATTTTGGAGTCATTAAGGCTGATTATTGGTATCTAGCTACTACGTATTAAATATCATTATTTATGGGGTTTAAGAAAGTGATAATGATTAATACTAGTCTGTAATGACCTCTCCCCTCGATCGTTACCTGCGTCCGAGACTTGCGAGTAAACTCACCAAATCCTGAACAAGCCTTAGTTAAACTTTCAGACAATTTAAACTCAACTCATGATTTTAAAGCCATTGCTCATTTAAACCAAGTAAACACAATAGTTAAATCATGACATTTAGATACCAATAATTTGGTTTAATAACTACACAACATATTCAACTTAATAAGTGACAATCATTACACCACATTAAGTTTCTAAGAAATACATTTCCATAACTAGTAATCATTATGAGTCTGACTACTCAACACAGTTCGACTTCTAAGCAGTGGAGCGACTCGGAGTGGAAGTCTAAGAGATACCATTACCTACATTACAGCAAGTCTCGATGTGTTAAGCAATGCACTTGAGCTAATTACTTATCTGCAAAAGGAAATAAGGGGGTGAGTCTCACAGACTCAATGATCATCAACCCCGTGAGTAGGACGTAGATGGGAAACAGCCTAAAGGCAGAAGATTTGAATATTAAAAATATAAAAATATATAAAAACAAATTAACTCAAAAGCGAGGTTTGTACCTTATATGTAAAACCAGTAAGTCAATGCAAAGTAAGCATTTAAATCAATATCAAATCATTTCATGTAAGATTTTTACCATCGAAATCATTTAAATACTGGCTTAAAGCAATTAGTATTGTCGCGCGAGCTCCCGTGAAATCCATCATTAACAAATTTTATAAGCAAATCCATAAATCACCTCATTCACGAGGAATTAAAATCCAAGGTCATCGTATAAATAAGGGAGCTGCAGGAAAATAGTTATTTCTCACCATGCGAAAAACTACATGCGTGAAAACCCATAAAGATATCACTCTCGAGTAGGAATAGAATAATAAAGCTCATGGACCCGTTTTCACGTAATAACATCCGGGAGCTCCGCTCCACCTGATCCCCACAGCCATGGCAGTCTCAACAATATTGGCTGACATCGGAGAAATCAAGTGATCGCAACGGCATGTATCACTGGTGGCCTAGCCATAAAGAATCACAGACCATGGCCCCAGCCATGTCTAACAGCCCATTGATGACCCAAAGATTCTCTATCTACAGCTCACTTGTGCGCAAGGGTCACACTTAACTAAAGTGACAATCGACCTACTCTCGAATCTCTAGATTTAATAAAACCATTTAAAAATCAAATAGGGTTATCAAAAGATCATTTCAAATCATTTTCAAAATACCGATCATGGTAGTGTACTAAAACCCTTTTTGTATCACTTTGTATTGTAAAACCTTTCTGCATAAAGGTTAGACATCAAATCAGCATGGTGAGTATGAAATCATTCAAGAATGCATATCACACAATCAATAAGGCACATTTTTGACACAAATTATATTGAAAAGCTTGTTTCTCGATTTTAAAATCCTTTACGTATATAACTTATATATATATATATATAGTCAAAACACATTTCAAATGCTTGGGCATTCACAAACTCCTAGAATATCTACCAGCTCATGCTTTTCACAAACTTACATTTAAAATAAATCATTTCATATCTATAAACGTATATATACATAATTATGAGATTATTTTTTAAATGGACACCCCCTACTCACCTCATAATAGCGGGACACTATGTCGCTATTGACTTAAGCATGTATTTAGCTAATTTCTACTTGTCGATATCTCGTTACCTCCTTTGACATGCCACCACGGCAATTTTTCTTACTATTCTCTTCTTATCATCCATTCAAACCCAATTTATTTAATTACGCTCATAAATGGCAGCATATCAACCAACAATCTTTAACTAAATCCCATAGTTTTGTCAACAATATTTACAAACATTTATCACACAATTCACATCCTTTAACCAACCAAAGTTTATACAACATAATATAGTCACTTAGCATGCTTACCTTTCGATTTAAGATTAAATTTTCCAAATGTGATTCACAACTTCTTCACTTCTAAGATTACCTGTGCTGCCACAAACACAATCAATCAATACACATCTCATCTTTCCTTGTTACTTATGATTTCAAAACTAAAACACTTACCCATTGTTCATTTAGCTC